TCTTCAATTTCATTATTACTCACCCTACATGTTGATTTTTGACGCTTGGGGAGATACTATCTGGGGATCTGATGCCGATAAAGCCACCTTGACTTCAGACTTCCAACAGTTCGCAGGTAACTTCACAGGAATTCCGACATTGATTGGAGAATGGCAAGCTACACCTCAATTTGTTGAGCCTGCCGCTCGATGGAAGTATACAGACTATTTTGTGAAAACCGCCAAGAGTTTCAATTTTGCTCATGTAATCTGGGACAATGGACTCGATTTCTTGGATCGTGCTACAAATACCTGGATTGATCCTATCTCCATGTCTATACTTTTCAACGGTGTTAAAGGAGTCTCCAACTCCCTCGCAGACAGTTCGACAGATTATCTCGCCACCTCTTGGAACTCTTCAGCTTATCTCTTCCATAAAGTCGGCGATGCTGTCGTTGCACAATCCGTTTCATACCTCTTGAACGGAAACACCCTGACATCTATCAAAACCTCCACGGGCACAACACTAGCAAGCACCTCGTACAGCATGTCCTCAGCCGGTGTTCTAACCTTCACTCAAGCTTATCTCGCAACCCTCTATTCCGCCACCACAGCCGCCGGCATCAAAGCCACTTTAACTTTGACTTTCTCCGCGGGCGCTCCCTCCCAACTACAAATCGTGCAATGGGCCACTCCAACCCTCTCACAAACCTCTTTCACCAAACAAACTGCCACAGATCTCACAATCCCAATCAACTATGCCGGACTCCCACAAGTGGCAGCTATCAAGGCTTTGAATGCAGATGGGTCGTACATGGTTTCTGGTGATGCGTGGACCGAGTATTTGGGACCATTACAACAAGCTCGATGGACCTGGGGCGCTTGGACGAGTAGTAGTGCTGGATTGACGATTCCTGTTGCGGGATTAACTGCTATCAATAGCTCTTCTCAGAAAGTTATTTTGACACTTGAAGTAAGTTTGTTCTAAAATTCAACTTGGTTTGGCATACCTCGCTTCCCTTTCCATATTACCCCTTCATTTACCTCGCTTCTTGTTTAAGCACACCGAACCCAATACAATACTAATACCGATATAGTTCTTCCCGAGAATTCAAGGACAGAATAGCGTGAATATCACATTCACATAAGTGTGGAATGATTATTTCGAGTGAGGCAATTTTCAGAGTACATTATGGCGTGCGAATATCTTGAATCATGAGCTTTGGTGTACATACATATAGTTCCGACCAACAGATTGAGCTGTATATATTCATGAATTCAATGCACATATTACTTTCTACCAGAACTTGGAGTAATTTACAAGAGATATCTATACCAGTGCGACTACATGATTTACAGACCCATTCTCTCCTTACTACATCCGCGCAAGTGAATCACCAATAAACATCTACCCCCACCAAATCCACCGCATAATCTACCAATCCTCCCGCTGCATTGCTGAATGTCAAAACGTTACTTCCAACTTTCCACCCACTAGTCAATACCCCAAAAATACCCGTATCCTGCCACCCCTTCGTCCGAAATAATTCCGAACTCTTCCCACTCAGTGGAAACTCGGCGCGTGTTACTACGCCATTAACGCTAATCGTCATATTTCTTGTATTAGTGCCCGTAGTCCACGAAGTACTGAATGCAATATCGTTATTGCAGAAGTAGACAGAGAGGTATTTTGTAGAAGAAGTAGCAGTGGATGTTGAAGGGGAATTGACGGTAATGGAAGCGGACCCGCTGGGGGTTAAGTCCCCGATTTTGGTTCCGCTGGGAGTACAGTAGTTGGTGTTGCAAGTTACGTGCGTCGCGGTGCCGGAGATACTCATGCTGGATGAGGAGTAGAATGTTGCGGGAGGTGATGTGATGGTGAGAGAGTGTGGGAGTAGAGTGGAGGAGGAGGCTATGGATAGAGTGTTTGTGCTATTTGCTGTGAATGAGAGGGGGCCTATAGCGAGGGATGTTGAGCCAACGGGAAGTGTGTATTTCTTTGAGGCGACAGTGAAGGTTGTTAAGGAGGTGGAGGTGGTATTAAAATGTAGTGTAGCTGTGTAGTTAGAGCTCGAGGTTTGGGCGTAGATTTTAGAAAATGTGATATTTGAGCTACGATCAAATTAGTCTTCAAGTATCAAAGAACGAACAAAGGATTATGGTGACAAACGTACCCAGAAACAGCAGCGTCATCAGTGGCATATGTACCCGCTGCAGTCGTCTCTCCAAGTTCCAGAAGCATCGTTCCATGGGCACCCACGTTCGCAGACCAAGAGGTCAGAACGTTCCTCGAACTAATATTGGCCCAGACATCCTTAAGAGTACCTGCCTTTTGCAGTCCCACATCTGGAAAATTCAAAGTAAGTGTCCTTTCCGTATTTTGAAGATTAATGAGCGCGACAACAGTGCGATTCCCACTCAATGGTCCCGCCCATACTTCATAACCATCCGCTGTCCATCTCCTTCGGAAACTTGCTGCAACGCCCAAGCTATCCTGGTTATAACTTACAACGTCTTTGTTACTAAGAATAGCCAAAGAGGCAGAGCTAATACTCGTCAACGGATCCTTTAATGCTGCTCCTATGACCAATGGACTTTTCAGAATCGCCCATAGACTAAAATGAGTTTCTTCCTCAGTAGTGGTAAAGACATTATTCCCCACCTCCAACATATCAAGATCGAGCCATTGCCCAGGACCAGCGAAAGATGTCTGTGGTACAGCCTGGTTCAAAATTCGGGACACAGTGGAGTAGGATGGAATAATATCGTTGGTGATGCGCCACGTGTTTCCCATAGCTGGAGCCCACGTAGAAGGAAAATCAACGCCCCAATCGCAAATCTGGAAAAGAATGGGTTTGCTGAGAGTGGCTAAAGCATCGGTCATATTCTGATATCTGACAGATGGAGATGTCGAGGGTACATAATTGGTGTTTGGATATCCAGTTGCTGCATCGGAATAGCAGTTATCATCTGAGATTGTTAGCTTGAAACTTCGTTGTGTTGATTTGGATGTGAAGTGTACATTTCAGTAGATCTGCTCCCCATGACGCGAATGTTTGTGCATCTGTCAGTTCGTGATCTTTTGGTTGTTAGCATTCATTTTCCTGATATGAACCTTTTAATTGAGAAGATATTCCTAGAAAGTCTCTTATTCCCACCGAACCTTTTGGCCATCTCAACCGTAACAATCAGTACTGAACTCACATAAACTGCCCACTTGTGCTGGGGTTCCAGTCATACACATTTGCACCCCAGAATCCGAATAAACTCCAAAGCCCAAGCCCAACCCATGAATAAAATCTCCCAAAGCTGAATATCCACTTGGAAATCGGTCAGGATTCCAAGTTAATGTTCCGTTAGAAGTTCTGTCAGGCAAAGTCCATCCGCAATCCACAGTCACATAATGGTAACCGAGATCAGAGAGACCAAGAGAAACGAGAGCTTGTGCGTTACTATGGATAATAGTTTCATTGGGGGAACAAGAATAATGGTTATAAGAGTTCCAACTAGTTTTTGGTTAGAGAGGTTGAAAATGAATCCAGGAGAGAAAGGGAGATACCTACCCCATAGGTGGAGTGATGGCTAGACCATTGTTGATTCGGGGTTTAAGATTTTGTGGAAGTGCAGTAACGGATTGAGAAAGCAAAGAGAGAAGCAGCCATTGCTGTCCCGAAAAATCAAGAGAGTGCATTTTCAAAATTAAATCACGATAATTTCAAGAGATTAACATGAAACTTGCAGTCTTTCTACGATATTTCTACTTTTCATCTTCCTCGGACTCTTGTGAGAGTTTCGGATATGCAGCTTGCAATGTACCATTGAATCCATTCCAAGACTTATAGTTTCTCAATCCTACGGCTGTTCAATCTTTCGCATCAATCAGATATCAATATCGTAAAATATACGAGGGGTAATATGGGGAATGCGGAGAATTCTACAAGTATACCCCGCGTCATCACTGGGACTCTTCAATGTCGAGATGCGCTCCAATAATGTTGTGGAAGGCCATCAACTCCGGCCTTCCTATTTCGATGTATCGTCTTGGCAGACGTGTAGGCTCTAAAGAAGATCGTAAAGATTCGTTTTTTGTACGTCACCAGTCATCCTTCTCCAATATTCTAAGCATGGAGGCATGCAGCTGGTGTACAACACTCAGTTTGGCTGACTCGTGAGAAGTCTACAATTGAATGAGTCAAGACGGAAAATTACACGTTCTATATTCATCCCGGACTTTTGATGACTAGATAGATATTGTTTCTCTCAAACTCAGCCTTAGGGTACCATAACAGCTATACTGCAGATACCTAGGTAGGCATTTATTATCTTTCGTACCACACTACAACGGTTACTCCCACCACGCTACCCAGCCCTAAATCCTCCACCCGTAAGACAACCACCGAAAGCCATAAACATTACCCATGGATACCTAAGTTTCTCTCAACTTCAGCTATTTAATATGAATAATACAATATCTCATCTTCGTACAGATTTCAAGTGCATCTCCGTATTGAAGTGATGAGGCTCACGCCCCTGAATGACAATTCCGACATTTCGTATTCGCCGTTGCTTCGTATTCACGTGTATAGCGGCGAGGGACACAGCGATGCACCCAGAAAGAATGCCCCTGCGTCCGTCTGACTTACATGAGATGAATTATTTCCCCTGCGTCTGACAGATGGAACTCTTATTTTGATCTCCGCTGGTAGTCTGAGCCTGATATTGCATTGCACACAAAATGCTTTTCTCAGCCTTATCAGCCACCCTAAGATTCTTTTCATGCCTAGTCGATTGTGATAACCTTAGTATGCATAGGAATAATTTGTTGGTGGCTATGGGTTGTACGCTCCAAGGTGTGTGATGTTGTGTAAGCTTGTGTAAGTGAGATTCTCAAAGTTTGTGATACCAAGAGAAGACTTCATTTCAAGTTACAAAATGAAAATCAAGTCAAGGAGCGGGATATATAATTACAGTAGAAGGCACACCGAGTCAAAAATACATTAATTCAAAAGGTACAGTAATGTGGATTTGGAAGGTTGGTGGCATTTGTATTAAGATTCGTCTATACATACCCCTTTCTTTGTATTTTCAAATGAATATAGTCCTCCTCTTTAAAATATATACAAGAAATATGTAACGACATGTTCATCTCCCATGTCTGTATACAGTTCGAATTTCTCCGATAATTCATGCCACCTTGTGTGGTCGATGTTCTTTCTAATCGCCCACCATGAAGTTCAACCATTCGTAACAATCGCCGAATCAACTACTCCTTCCCGTATCCCGTGCTAAATTAATCTCTCTCCAATCTTACAATGTGACAGACTACCTGCAATCATGCAATTATTCCTTTCCCCAATAACTCAATCCCAAACGCCAAAACGCAACCCAATGCTTTACATAAGGGTCATTAAGAGAAGAAGAACAGCGACGATAGTAAAAATGCGGTAAAGATTGGGCCTAATGATGGCGATGTGTGAGATGATAGAGATTTGCTGGTGGATGAGGGGTGTGTTTTGTTGACATCCTTCATGGGAGTTGGACAGAGCGTGGTGTTGACCAAAAGGGAGCCTGGCATCCAAATCTATTTCAAAAATTAGCACTCATATACATTACGCACATGCGTTGAAACTATGTCGACATACCTGTGGCTCTCCTTTCGTCAAGGTGAGGGTGAACGCTCCACCGAATCCTGCAACAGTGCTATTACAACTCAAGATTTCAATGAGGAGATTTCCTTCGCTAAAATTGGTGTCTTCGATGTAGTAAGGTCCAACAGCCGCTCCCTCGGTACCGACATTGGTGATAGCTGTGACGATCGAATGGACCAATCCTTTCCTAAACACCAATACGTCGTCTGTCTGTTTTATGACAGAGGCTTTGTATGCCCAGTAAGGACTCCAATTAGAGTAATTGGTGGCTATCATGTAATTGTTGACGGCATTGCGCGCGGTATTCATAGTTTTTATATGTTGATACAGAACTGCGGTAGTATCATACCCAGTTGGATTTAGCCAAAGAGCTCCACGGTTTTGAGGGTCGTTTTCACCGTCAAGGCCTTGCTCGGCTCCGTAATATACAACAGGAATACCGTCTGTAAAAAAGTCGAATGTGAGGGCATTTTTCCTTTGAGACACGTCACTCGTGTAGGATCCAAAACGAGCAACGTCATGATTCTCACTAAAAGTACCAAGAAGTGTAGTATCGTAACAGTATCGCTGGGTTTGATCGAATTGGTAGCTTAAACTTCCCATACCATTCGTCGAGTTTGATAGAATAGACGTGATGTAATACCAGGCAGGATAATTGAGGACAGAAGAGAGAGCATCGACAGCCCACTCGCATGCATTGGTAGGCAGCTCGTCAAAGACCTCACCGATAGTGAATACATTAGCAGCTTTTTGGAAGTCAGGCCAGAAAGGCTTGTCGACGTGTTTGGCGGCATCGATACGAAGGCCGTCAACTAGAGTTTGGGTTTATGTTAGTCCACTCTTGTTGCAATATATTGTATTGTGCATTAATATTCCCCAGATTTCCCCACAACCAAGACTTCCAGAAAGAGCAAGGGGTAAGTAAGATTCATGATCAGAAGTACATACGTGAATAATTGGCGACCATTTCTGTTACCCAGGTCTCCCATGTTTGCTTGACAAAGTCAGATTCGGTGTCCAGATCTGGCAATGAAACTGTATCGTCTCCCAGCCAACAGTTCTGGAAGTTTGTTGCGTTTGAATAATCGGTAATATAACAGAAAGGATGGAAGTATTCTTTCTTGTTGAACGGAACTAGAGTAGAGTAATCGACTGCGCTCCCTTTACCAGCGTAGGCCATGTCGTTAATAACCGCATCGATCATCAGATACTGTAGTGCGCACACTTGAATTAGAGCTCATGTTCTATATGATGAAGTTGCGAATGTGAATGCAGCTTACCATGCCACGATCGTGCAAGGTCGACGACAAGAGCTTGAGATCATCTGCTGTTCCAAAATGTTCGTTGATCTTAGTGATATCTTGACTCCAGAATCCATGATAGCCTTGCCCATATTTCGTTGTTTCGTTGATATTCTGTACAACCGGTGAAATCCAGATCTAAGTTTGGCATCAAGTCAGTTCACGATGTCCAGGCTGTTGGATTTTCCTATCTTTCATCGCCACGGTCGTACGAGACACGACAGAGAGAAGTATCATTCATACGAAGAGCATAAAGAGAAGCTAAGATAGAAAGACTCACAGCCGTAAATCCCATGTCCTGGATGTAATCTAGCTGGTTGATAATTCCTTGAAAGGTCCCACCGCAATACAGTTGTGCTGTATTGTTACACGCATAGGTAGTCGAGCCATCCGTTCTTGCGAATCGATCCGTGATAATTTGATATATAGATTGGCTTCTCCAATCGTCTGAAGTGGCAGCGTGAACATCTTTCACGAAGGACGTCAACAACACCACCAACAACATTGACCAAGTAACGAATGCCGTCGAAGTTTTCCTCTCCGACGTGGTCAACATGATTTCAAATCGTAAACTCGTAACTCGATACCGCCACTATCTCGAATGTCGCATAAAAACAAAGAAGACTGAACTCCAAACAAGAAGCTGATTAGACTGGCGTCGACAATGTAATCAATTTGCTTTCTCTGACGCAGAATACAATAACGAGTGACAATCGACGCAAAAAATTATCAGTGGTCTACTACGACCCGAGATAGAGAGAGATAGGATTTTCTTGGCACGGTGGATGTCCTAACGCTTGCACTTGATGCAGTCTAGTAGATAGGAGATCCTCCGACTGTACTATCTACCAAACGGGCTGACTTTTTCGAGAACCGATTTGGAAGGATAATGGAATCAGGCTAAAATTGGGAGTGGACGGGGAGGAGGTTGTAAAGATATTTTGGGGACATGGGAAAGGTATGGTAGGAGGAAGAAGAATCAAGAAGCAGACTGCAGTGTCACCAACATTACTAGGTATTTACCTACAATAATAGCAGGATTAAGGGTAATTATGGCGGGAAATGAACACCCGCGATCTACCCTACTTACCCAGCAAACGTTCCTCTAAGTTTCAAGCTTCTAAACTTCGATTTGATCATGTCAATCCCAAGATCTCCGAAAATTCTTAATTCCCAATTCAGCAATTTGAACCCAGATTGAGGTGTCATGTGTAAAGGAAAGGCCTTGTTGAACTTGTTGAACACCGTGGGGACTGGCAGGCTGGCACGTCCTTGATCAATTTGACAAATTAGCTGTTCGTATTTGAACCACTTCTTAAGCCACTGTACCTATTTCAACGTGGATGGTAGATAGATCCCCGCCTTTGTTAATCTTAAATCCTGCACATAATGACTTGGCGGTGCAAAAGATAGGGGATGAGAATTTCTAGTCAGGGGTACTGACCACTAAGGTACCAACTACTGCGTACAATTAGTCCACATTGATTACACTTTGGTCTGGTATGTTACTACTGAGGGGGGGAAATCTCGGTGTACAAACAATACTGCTTTTTCGAGAATTGATTAATACAATAGTCGCATAATTTAGTAATATTGTTTGCTAAACTTTTGGGTCAACTTGGTGGTTTTTAACTGGAAATCGACTGAGCCAGACCGCCACTGGAAATGGCACAGAGAATCGATATAAAGTACCCGTACCTATATTTGAGGAAGCTATCGCAGCCGTCAAATAGCCTTTGAGCTAGAAGTCTAAAGTATTCCGAAGGGTTCTGACTTCAGCACAAAGTTTTGCCAAACAATCACTATAACTACCTACTAAAAGGTGCGGACGGAGGGATCGTAATAGTGCGGTGATGATCAGGATAGATAGGGGTTCCACAGATCAAATATCGCCTTCTACCAAGATTTCCTATAACCTCGGACAAAATTCGATCTCTTCTTGCAACTTCTCCATTATTTCATCCTCTCGTGTTCATCACACTCAACGCCCCTCTGTGGACCAACTCTACACATATACTCACTGCTACGCCGGACAGCCTCAGATTTCCATCATTAAGTTTAGGTTTGGCATAAGGTTTTTTTGTCTCTTTCCAATTTTATTGTTGATCGATGGACTGATCATCATGATTCCAACTACAACGGTTAAATCCGTTTTCCATACGAGATGCAGTGGGTTGAAATTCAAGGGTAGTTCGTCGGTAAGTATCTCTACTATTATTGCATTGGATTTCGACATTATGAGGAAGTTGAGACAGATCGAAGCAAGGAACGCTGTAGGAGGAGGAAAAAAGAAGAAGAAGAGAAAAAAAAGCAATGTGAGCTAAGGAGAAAAGGACGGGAATCCTGCAGACATGACATTTCATTTCTTTTAGCATTGCAGCATAAAATTTGCATAAGCTTTCATACTTGCTAGCACTCAAGTAATTCAATGCCTTGGTAATCTTAAGCAAATCTTCTTAAAGTTTCATTCATTGGAATTTGGCGAAGCTTTTCAACTGGTTTCTATTACGTTGATTCATTTTACCTACCTAGTATCAATTATTCTCGAGCTACAGACTTTTCTTGATTTGTATGGAAAGTATTACAAAGCGGCATTGCGGTGACTAGGCTCGGCTATCCTAAAATCCATGATCCGGCATGTCGTTTCCTTCTCTTCCTTCGACTTTGCCTTGCTGGAACTTTTTACGGAGCACAATGTCGATTTTTCCTAAACACCTACAACTGTTGCTTATCAAATGTCCGAAACAGGCTTCATAAAGAAGGGAGCCGGTCAGGACTTAGGATTTCAGATTGAATCGTGGTTGGTGCGCTTTACCCTGCCTATCGATATTCTCCCGCCACACCTTAATTGAACGTATCATTCTGCTGCAATTTATCGCATCCCATGCTTATCTACAGACTACAACCGTACTGGAACTTATCCGTCGCTGTCGATAGATGACCAATCCATATGCAGCGATGCACAGATGTTAATGCAGAAACAGATTCATCCCATCTCCCATTGATGGCCACCAAAAAGGAATAAAATTGACACATGCGGCATCTGAATTTATACCCAAATTTCCAATGGAGGTCTTGTTGTACTTTACACCGCATATGAGTCAGGAAATATGGGAAAATATGAAAATAATGGTTAAGGGGCACAAACTTTTGATCTTTGGAGCTTATTCACAATGCGGAAACTTTTCACAGGGACGGATCGTATTCAGTCAACATTGTGTCCAATTATTGTGGATTATCGGTCGCACCCATCTACTCGCTTATTTGGCTTGACTTTTATCTCACGAATCGTACAGCTACGGGGTATTCTACCATACAAAGGAGAGGAGAGCCATCTCGTTCGTTATTAATCATTACATATCAAGCCTAGTGCAGTATCTACCTTTTAGCGTGTACGTATCAGAATGTATCTCTCGGAAAACAGCGTGAGAAATCTCGTATCTTCCTCTCCCCCAATTCCCAATCCCTGAGCACCATACCCCTACACGGAACGGCTACCCTGCTCGAAGTCCTCAGCCTTCTAATCAGGGAAACTTGATGTCTCACCAATTAGCCTTCCAGAGCCCCGGTATGTGGCTGTTCTTCACCCTTGCCAATTTCTCATGTTTGGTATACGATTTGAACATTAGGTTACACCAAACACCTGTGTTCAATTGTACTCTTTTATATCTACCGGCAAAGAAGCTATTTTGTTGACTCAATGAGCCAGATCGATAGCAAATATAGGGTGCGGATAGCTAGCTAGCTAAGGCTTACCATTGGAAGGACGAGCCAGACCCTTCACGTTTTTTTTTTCTTCTTCTAAAAATCCTTACGTGATTCGGGAAAGTTCTGTGCGGCGTGGCATAGATGCTAAATTTAATTGAGTTAGACGAAAACTCAAATCAATGCTTATACGGTGGTATCTAGAATGCCACAATCGGCGTTATCTCTCTAATTTTGTTATTATCATTGGTCGTAAATCACACGCGGAAAGCAACAGTGGAACTCGTGTTTGGGGATTTATTTATTTGAAAAGGATATCTAAAGCAATGGATCAAAGTCGATCCCCACTACTTTTCTCTCTGAGTTAATGGCCCGTCCAATGACGCCCGTGTGGATTACCCCTGGCACCCAAGACTTTCGTGCGCTCAACTAGCATGGCAGCTCGTGTCAAAATTCAGTTTACTGCCCTATTAGTCCCACTATATTCCATTTCAGGACGGCTTGCGATTAAAAATATTCCATCTCATCCTGGGTTGTAGGCTTTAGGCATCCGATATGCTTAGGATAGTAAGATCGACCTCTAGGGGGCAAGCAACAACACCGAGTTGTCCTTAGTCTTTAAGTGATCTTTTACGCGTTCACACTTCACCATCCTACCTCTCGCTCAAGTATCTCATCATAGACATATTACACTTTGTTTTTTCAAACATCTTTTTCGTCAATCTGCGATTTGCGGTCGACTTTCACGCTCGTTATTTCTCATTCTTGTTCGCAAGCTATTTGTTGTAATTTTTTTGGTGTAGAAGAACGGGTTCAATCTAGGATCACTTATCTGTGGATTTCATACGAGCAAGCTACATAATACCTGGAATATTGGAGGAATCCTTCTTAATATCTTGCTGGTCCCGAACAATTTGAACTCCTGAAACTTTACATACAATTTCGGCAATAGTTGATGAAGAAAAATTAATGATTTTGGTCACTTGAGTATCGTTTCTGGTCGGTTTCGTTTGTCACGATGTTCGCGCGAACTCTCGTTGCCTTGTGCAGCGTCTTGTTGAACACACAGGTCAACGCCTTACGCTACGAAGAACAGTTTGTGGGCTACAATTTGAATACAAATCAGACGGCAACATCACCCTTTGATTACTATGGAAGATGGGAAGGTGTACGTGAAAATTCATGGCTCTTGGAGTGTTAAAAACTTCAGTGGTGGATTTATGAAACCTCAGATGCACATTGGCTAACCTATCTTTTCGTAGCACGATTTTTATCCATCTCCCGATAACTGGCGTTTTCCCTTCTACTCTTTCTTTCTGGATAAATTTGTGAATGGAGATCCAACGAACGATGATATCAATGGAACTCATTTCGAAACTGATTTCATGCAAACCCAATTACGACATGGAGGTGATCTACAGGGTCTCATTGATAGTCTGGACTATATTCAAGGAATGGGAGTAAAAGGAATTTATATTGCCGGAAGTCCTATGATCAATATGCCTTGGGCCGCGGATCAATACTCTCCTCTGGATTTCAGTCTTCTCGACCAGCATTTTGGAGATATGGATTTGTGGAGGAAAACCACCACTGCTATCCATGACAGGGGGATGTATGTGATTCTCGACAATACCATGGGAACTATGGGAGACTTAATTGCTTTCAGCGGTTATGAAAATTCCTCGACTCCCTTCACCCTGGTCGAGCACGAAGTCCTTTGGCGTAATGAAAATCGCCAATATCTGGATTTTTCCTTCGGGTCGAAGTACAATGAGACCTGCAACTACCCTAGATTCTGGCTTGATACTGGATTTACCGTCAAAGAAGATGTCACTGACCTCATGAACGGGTGCTATGATTCCGAATTCGATCAATACGGTGATACCGAAGCTTTTGGTGTTTTCCCCGATTGGCAACGTCAATTGTCTAAGTTCGCCTCCGTCCAGGATCGTTTGAGAGAATGGGTTCCCTCTGTGAGAACTAAAATCGAGATCTTTACTTGTATGATCATCCAACAATTAGACATTGATGGACTGCGTGTGGACAAGGCGACACAAATTACGGTCGATGCATTGGGAAGTTTCAGTCACGCAATGAGAGAATGCGCAAGAGATGTGAAAAAGAAGAATTTCATGGTTACTGGTGAAATTACCGGAGGAAATACGTTTGGAAGTATTTACCTCGGGCGTGGACGTCAACCTGATATGTTACCGTCCAGCATGGCAAACGCGGTTCAAATGACCTCCAATTCTAGCTTGGCATATTTCATCCGTGATCCTGACCAAAACGCACTCGACTCCGCTGCTTTCCACTACAGTATTTATCGCACGCTGACTCGATTTTTGGGAATGGACGGAAACTTAGCAAGTGGTTATGATACACCAACTAACTGGGTTGATGCGTGGAACGAAATGCTTGTAACGAATGATCTTATCAACCCCAATACTGGAGTTTTCGATCCAAGACACATGTACGGAGTTAGCAATCAGGATGTCTTCAGATGGCCGGCTATCAAGAATGGCACACAAAAACAACTTCTTGGACTCTTCATTACGACTATACACATGCCTGGTATCCCTTTGCTTTTGTGGGGTGAAGAGCAAGCATTTTATGTCTTGGACAACACAGCCGACAATTATCTCTTCGGTCGACAAGCTATGTCTCCTTCTCAAGCATGGCAAACTCACGGATGCTATACCCTTGGCAGTGGTACCTTTTATCAATTCCCCAACGACTCTTGTACTCGAGGTTGTAATGATGACTGGAACAGTCGCGATCACAGAGATCCATCTCACCCAGTTCGAAATATTATCAAGGCGATGTACCAGATGCGAGACAACTACCCAGTTTTGAATGATGGATGGTTTCTACAACAGCTTTCCAACCAGACAGTGGAAATCCTCTTGCCAGGTAGTAACGGTACAGCTACTGAAACTGGAATGTGGAGCACCATGCGAAGTCAATACGATGGTATTCAGGATTTATCTAAAGCTGGTGGTCAAGCAAATCAGTCTATCTGGATGGTTTACCACAACAATTATGACACAGTTACATATTCTTTTGATTGTAGTAGCAACGAAACTGCCCTCGTTGCTCCTTTCCTTGATGGCGTTACTGTCAAGAATCTGTTCTATCCGTATGAGGAGGTTACATTGAAAGCAGGACCCTTCAAGCTAGGGATTGCAAATCAAACTGGCTTCAATGGCTGCCTTGATAGTCTCACTCTCGTTCCATACGAGTATAAAGCATATGTGCCAAAAAAGAACTGGGTTGGACCTTCGCCGATGATTACCTCATTTTCGCCAGGACACGATGCACGACTTGCTTCAACAGTTGCCCCCGGAGAACAAGAAACCATCGAAATTGAATTTGGTTTCAGTGCCGAAATGAAGTGCTCTGATGTCATTTCGAAAATGACAATTACCTCGGCAACAGAGGACGGACAGGTTGCAACATTAGCCAATGCTACCGGCCAATACTCTTGTACTTTGCTTCCAAGTCCGGTCAACGTCACCGAATTCGTTGGATCAATCCCAACTATGTGGACTTTCAAAGGAAATTTAACCAATGTATCTAACGGTGTCCACTCGATTACCCTCACCAATATCACCAGCAATTC